CCACCATTTCCCTGCTCTGACCACGCCCCCACATACAGCGTCACAACCCAGTGACCTGGGAGTCCAAGGCTCTCGTCCTCGTACTTAACGGTCATGAACAAAACAAAAATGGCTCAAGAAGATCTCAAAGCCCCAGAGCCTATAAATCTAAGCGATGAAGAAATAGCAAAACTCTCAGACGCACAGTTTAAAACACTGGTCATCAGGATCCTCACAGAACTGGTTGATTATAGCCACAAATTAGATATATATATGAAGGCGAAACTAATTGAAATGAATGGAATTACACAGGAAATCAATAGCGATGAAAAGGAAACTGGGTCTCAAATCAATGGAGTGGACCAGAAGAAAGCAAATAATGGCCAAACAGAGAAGAGTGAAGAAGCAAGAATTCAAAAAAATGAGGAGAGGCTTAGGAACCTCCAGGTTCCTTTAAACGTTCCAACATCTTTAAACGTTCTTTAAACGTTCTTTAAACATCTTTAAACGTTCCAACATCCGAATTATAGAGGTACCAGAAGGGGGAAAGGAACAGCCACCAGTGGAAAACTTATTTGAACAAATAATAAAGGAGAATTTCCCCAATCTGGCAAAGGAAATAGACTTCCAGGAAATCCAGGAAGCTCAGAGACTCCCAAAGAAGTTGGACCCAAGAAGAAACACACCAAGGCACATCATCATTACATTAGCCAAGATTAAAATGAAGGAGAGAATCCTAGAAGCAGCAAGAGCTAAGGGGACAGTCACCTACAAAGGAGTTCCCATCAGACTGTCAGCGGATTTCTCAAAAGAGAACTTACAGGCAAGAAGGGGCTGGAAAGAGGTATTCCAAGTCATGAAATCCAAAGACCTACAACCAAGATTGCTCTATCCAGCAAAACTTTCATTTAGAATGGAAGGACAGATAAAGTGCTTCTCAGAGAAGGTCAAATTCAAGGAGTTCATCATCACCAAGCCCTTATTATGTGAAATGCTAAAGGGACTTATCTAAGAAAAAGAAGTTAAAAAAACATGAACAGTGAAAGGACAGCAAACTCATAGTTATTAACAACCACACCTAAAACAAAAGCAAACTAAAATGACAGCTAGATCAGGAGTGGAAACATAGAAATGAAGATCTCAAGGAGGGTTAGCAACAGGGGAGTGGGAGGAGGAGATGGGGGAGAAGGTACAGAAAATAAGTAGCATAGACAGTAGATAGAAAATAGATGGGGGGCAAGAATAGTATGGGAAATATAGAATCTAAAAAACTTGAGACACATGGTCATAAACTAAAGGGGGGTAATGGTGGGGATGGGGGGGTAGGGTGGAGGGGAATGAAGGGGCGAATAGAACAACTGTAATGGCATAATCAATAAAATAAATAAATAATTTAATTAAAAAAATAAAAGAATAAAAATAAAAATTCATGTAAGCAAAAAAAAAAAAAAAAAAGAAAATGTCTCTGTTAAGAAAATGTAATTTCATCCCCAATGAAATACAATCATGAAAATGAAAACTCAGTCATTCCTGAGGAGTATTTAGAATTTAGATCTTAGACCTTAAACCTTTTACAGTCATCAGAGATGATTTTTTGTCCATGTCACTTTATAAATGAGTCCCTGGAGATTCAGAGAGGTGAAAGGACTTGCTTAAGGTCACACAGCTAGTGGGCGATAGAACCGAGACTAGAAAACAGGTCTCCCAGGCCGTGATCTAGCCTGCGTTATACATCCCCTACCACTTCACGTAACGCACAAATGTTTTCACATGTCGCCAGACCCTAAGAACTATGATTCTAGTGAGAATCATGGCCATGGGTTGTACAAAGCTGTTCTGTTTAAAAGTTCTACTAAAAGAGTAAAGCTTCCAAGATTATATTAAAGGGATTGTTTATCTGACTTGAATCTTTTAATACAAAGTAGTCTGTTACATTTATCTAATATTACATCTAAAAAGCATTATTGATATCCCCTGAAGCAACTGCCCATATTGTTATAAATTAATATATATCTACCTCCTTTGAGATAAGTGAAACACAATGTTACAAAAGAGTAAACATTTTATTATATGTACATGAATCCTCCTGGTCCAAGGCCACATAAGTGTTTGGTTAACATGTGAAATTGGCCTTAAGCAATGGAAGGGTGTTTGTGGTCATTTACATGTATCGCAGCGTCATCCACGTGATCTCCCTGCTGAGCAGCGGGAGGCCCAGACTGGACAGTCGGAGGGTCAGGAGGAGTGGGCGGTGCGGCTGAGGAAGGGGAATGCAGAGCAGCTGGGGCCTCCACTTCGAAGACGTGGTCTGTGGAGGTCTCAGGGGGAAGCATACTGTGCAGAACAGCTTTTCTAGGGTTGGAGGGCCCCTCAGGGAGGGACTGAGAACAAACAGGCATGAACGCTGCCGACCAGCCTCAGCTAGAAGAGTCCCTGTCAGAACAGGGCCCCCGCCGTGGCACGGCCCGGTGATCTGGGGACAGAGGGTGTCACAAGGGAACCACCTGAAGGGTGGGCAGAGGCCCCCGCGGAGGAGCCACGTACTCTTCTTCTCTGAGCAGTCGCAGCAGGATGTTTTTTTTATTCTGGGGCCAGCTGTAGACGTGAGTGTTCTGAAGCCAGGTGGGCACATGCTCCTGCGGGAGGGAGGGTGACAGAAGCACAGGCCATGAGAAGAAAACCTGGATCCCAGATCCCAGACTCAGTTCCCAAACACCCACAACCTTTTCTTCAGGGGAGTTTTCCACTAACGATCCTGGCAGTTGTGCTGTTTTGCTTTTGGAAGGGGGTTAGCCTGTGACATGCTCTTGGCTTCGGGTGGGAGCTGTATATCTCATTATGGAAACCACATGTGCACGGCGTTTTCTGTCAGTCTCCCGGGCTACCTGCCCTTTGCATTTCAATGTGCTTTTCACCACCCTCACATAAAAGGGGTAGGACTGAGGTCATGGAGAGTGATGCGAATTCCCCTGGGACTTGGAAAGAAGTATGCCAAGGCTGCGGGCTTAATCTAATTCATTATCCTTTCACTCCAGCCACAGGTCTGGCTTGCAGTGGGAGGAGAGCCCAGCAGGCCTCAGTTACCAGCAGAGGCAGACACTGAGCCGGGGATGCGGGGGTTGCGATTTCAGACTGCCCTCATGGAGTGGCTGTTCTGTTGGGGAAAGACAGATAGCGAATAAGCAGAACACAGAGTGTGTTCAATGGTGATGCAGCTGCAGAGAAAGATAAAACAGAGAAAGGGGGTGGGCAGCGCTGGAGCCAGGATGAATGGTTTGCAGTTTTAAACAGGGTGTTGAGAGGAAGAGTGGAGGGGAGGGCGGCAAGCTTTAAAGAGGTCTGGTCCAGGCAGGTAGAAGAGCCAGGGCCAAGGCACCATGGTGGGAGCATGCTTGGCCTGTTCAAGAAGCAACAGTGTGGCTAAATAAGACCGAGTGGGAGCCCAGGGGCGGGGGTCTGGGAGTAGAACGAGCTGCGTCCCACAGGGCCCCGCAGGCTCTTCTGAGTAGGTGGCAGTCCTTTGGGGTTTGTGGGATGAGCTTAGAATCGGCCCCTGCTACGTGTCAGGCATCAGGCAGGGTCCTGATGACACCCAAATGAGAAAGACACAGTTACTGCCTTGAACAGTTACTTGTCTCATGAGGGAGTCCAAATCTACAGAAAAAGAACCTATTTTCTAGGCAGTGGTATACCCAGGGGGCAGGCAGTGTGAGCAGTCTGCCCTGAGCACAGGCAACAACGGAAATATCTGAAGAAGCTTTAAAAACACCAGTAAAACCAACTAAAAGTTAGTCAGCTTTTTCTGTCACCATGCTCTAGTTATTCTAGACAATTGCTCCCAGGGCCTGCACTCCAACCACAGACCACTGAATCAAGGTCGGCACAGGGGACGAGGGATCAGGAGAGGTTAGAGAGACTGTGTAACCTAAGGAGAAGCAAGAGTTCCCCAGACAGGCCAGTCAGGGAAGGGCATTGCCAGCAGAGAGAAAAGGGCGTGCAAAGGCACAGAAACATAAAAGAAAGGTGGATATGAACTTGTGGTCAGTGGGAAGCCATTACAAAACTTCTCAGCTAAAGAGAGGTTGGAGCTACATTTTGGATGTTCCTCTTTGACAGCAGGACAGAGGATGGGTCCAGGTGGAGACAGAGAGTCCAGTGAGAAGATCTTTGGAGAGCAATGAGCACCCGGCCAGGCAAGGAATGGGAAGGCATACGAGGGTGTAGGCTGTGAACTATGCAACCCCAGGTTCCCAGTCACATAACTTGGACCCTCCCTCATCCAGGGCAGAAGTGTCAATGCAGTCCTGACATCTAGGAACCCTCCAGGGTGAAGGTGGGCCTGAGTTCCGGGTGTCGTGGTCTGCCTCTCCAGACTTGTTCTACGCCACTCACTGCCTTCCCTTTGCCAAGCCTGGTGTGTGGACTCAGATGGTTCTTTGGCCCCGTCCCCCAAACCTGCTTGTATGGTCTTCTGGTGCAAAAACCCTCACATGAACCAGAGCAAAGTTCATCTTGGTAATTGTGTAGATTTAATTCCTGTATTCAACAGCTGTGAGAGCTGAACTAAGTGCAAGAAAATACTTCTGTGGAACAGCCAGCAAAAAATGTACACATCTTGACTTTTATGTACAAGAGATAAGAAGTATCAGATGAACAGTCTTTTTTTTTTTTTTTTTTCTTGTACGTTAAAAAAACGTAAGTGACTTCTTTGCGTGTGATGGCTGTTTGAACAATTAGGACAGAGATGGCCTATGAGATAATGCCCTCCGTTCCCACTGCTGAGCTGAGTGGTACAGCTTGTTGATCTTTCTGGCAACACTGTTATCTCTAAGGAGTGATAAAGAGTTGACAAGGTTTTCCACTTAAAATCCCAGATAGCAAACAAAGCAAAGCTTGAATTCTAAGGGTTTTTTCTGGTGTTGTTGTTTGTTTACCTTCTTAGCATTTGGGAAGAGCACAGGGATGAATCTGAAATTCATGCTTCCTTGTTTTATGAACTCAATCTGCATCTGGAACAGAACAAAGGCAAGGTTTAATTTCAGGACCAAGGATGAAGAGCTAACGCTACTTGCAATCATGCAAGCCCACACCGCATTCTACTCTGATTTTCTTTTTTGAGTGCCACACCCTTATCATCTGAAGCTCTCCCCATTACACATCTGTGCCATTTACTCATCTGCCAATCATTTATGGAGGGCCTGCTCAAAGTCATAGTCCATGCCAGACTTCGGGTTTCAAGGATTAGGATACCTTTTAGGATCTGTTGAGCTGGTTCTCACCGGCCCACATAAGCCAGTTGTGTGCCCCTTCTCAATTCTGTGCTCAGTGACTTCACACTGCTAGCTTGAAATTGGCCATGGTGAGAGTGTTTATACCATGGAAATGGGCAGATGTCACGAATCAGGATTTTGTGGGGAATGGAAGAGACCAGTTTACTAGAATACCACTGGTACAATCTCTGTGCTCACAAAGCCAGCAGTCCAGCAAGCACTCAGGTAGGCCAACTACCACCAGACTGCAGTCTAAAATGTACGGAAAAACCGCTGTGGAAGCCTAACGTGGGGGCCATCTACTCTACATCGTGCTTTGAAGGACAGTTACAAGGGAGGTGCCATTTGGATATTAGGAGGAGTTGGTCAGGCAGGGAAAATCGGGAGGAGGGGAATGACTTCTCAGCAGGGGACAGAGCCGGAGCAAATGTCTGGAGGTGTGAAACTATGTTGGAGGGTTGGGCCCCGCTAGTAATGCCTTGCAGCTAGAGCACGGGTTGGCCTGGGGAGGGAGCAGAAGACCGAGGACGAGGCTGGGAGGTGTCTCCCCAGGGTCAGGTTTCCCACACCAGTTCCGATTGCTCTGACACTGCGGTGGCCCAGAGAGATTTCACTGCCAGGAACTTTATCGAAACCAGAATTCGCAGTCGGAGAGGAGTCCCAGTTTTCCAAATCCTGTGACTGGCACAGAGTGTTCAGTCTTCCGATGACAGGGGAGATGAGGAATTATGAGTTCCTAACTATTTTACCTTCCAATTGATTTTTATTATGGAGCAGCCTCCATCGTGCATGGAATAAAAACAGAACTGAGAGGAATGTGACAGCAGCAATGAATTCACCAAAGAAACCCCTCATAAACACACGCTCTTATACACTCATGCTTATTCGCAAACACACACAAATTATCCACAAGGTGTTTTCTCAGAAACACCTCCCTTGGAAAATCAGAGGACAACACCAAAAGCATGTTGTTGTTGTTGTTTCTCATGCCCTGGGGGAGAGAGAGAGAGAGAGACACTGATGGGTTGCCTCGTGTGAGTGCCCTGACAGGGGATCAAACTGACAACCTCGGTATATGCCCCGACTGGAAATTGACCCTGCGATCTTTTAGTTTATGGGACAGTCTCCAACCAACACAGCCACACAGGCCAGGACCCAAAAGCATGTTTTAAAGTGACCCAAGTACTGGGCAACTAAAAGCACCCACCACATCAGTACAGACACGTCAGAGGAAGGGCATTGTTTACAAGCTAAAGTGAAGAGCCGGATTTTGTGTCTGACTTCCAGGACACTGCACACTGTAAAATTTTGTTTATTCACTGGGCCACTCAGTCTGTGGAGCGGCCAGCCGGCAGCAGTGCGTGTTTATTTTCTCTCATGTTTCCAGATGCTGGCTTTCTGTGAAGTCGTCGGCGGCTGTGTGATGCAGTTCCTCCTGGGCTCCTCTTCACTCCCTCTGCCCTGGAGTTTGCTGCTGCCTGGAAGGGGCCAGGAAAGCAGCCAGGCGGGCAGAAGGCACTTCTGTATCTGGCCTCTTCAGCCCCTTCAGTGATGAGGAGGGGCCCAAGACATCACTGCCCCAAGAAACTGAGTTTTGAGACAACCTGGTTCACAGCTGGGCACAGGCAGCAAGCTCCAGGGCTGAGCCGTGTATTACTGCCTGGCATTGCCACACGTGAGCAGAGCTTGACAGGCTTCCTCAGGAAATGGCAGGGACCTGGAGCCCTTCCCACACACCGGCTGTCAGCTCCTGGGACTGGCCGGTTCCTAGAGACGCAGACAGGACATCGAGTGCTTGGGGCCCATGCAGACATGCAGCCCCAGACAGCCGAAGGATGGCAGCACCCACAGCCAGCCACGGCCTTTTAGGGCAGAACTGGTCCTTTTCTGGCCCCTGACTCTGGGCTGTCAGAATGGGTGACAGTGGGACAGCAGGGGTACGTGTCTGAGGGGTCCTTGGCATTACTCTCTGACCTTACCACCAGGCCTGGGCTTTTACTCTGGGTTGGTTCTGAGCTCAAATAAGTAGTTGGCACTTGACAGAGGAGAAGATAGAGGCCCTGAAGACCCAGAGGGGGAACACCCACCTAGGCTGCTTCTTTCGTGTGCTCCTGATCCACAGGACAGATCTGATTTAGGTGAACTTCCCTTGAGGACAAACTGCAAGACCCTTGGCTGCCTGACTGCCTCCTGCCTTGTGCTGCTCCCCTATCCCATCTGGACCATTTCTGCTCTCTGCCCCATCCTTCCGGTCTGGTCAGTGGTCCTTTAGGCCCATGCTAGGTGGGCCTTCCCTGCTTGTGGAATATTAGGGCTGAAATGGAGCTTACAAGTTCTGGCCTAGCGATTTTTCAAGACTTTTAAAATCTCAGAATCCTTGTTAAAGAAACAAGCCTGAGAAAGGCAGATGAGCTCTGGCTGAGATGAGGTGAAAGGCCCAGAGCACCCACACGCCCAGCACGTAGGAACACCCATTTGGGACTCCATGGGAGAGTTCGAAAGTCACAAGTCTAGTCTGGCATCCTGGTCAAGCATGACCACCTCCGGAGGAGATGTATGGTTACGGACACAGGAAGGCTGCTGGCCCATAAAACAGCCAGGTCAGAGTGCGCCGTCAGACGCTGAGTAAGTCTAATGCCCTATAAGTGTCTCCCTCTGGTTTTAGTTTGACCGGGTCCCATAGTTCATGAACTATGAACAATAATTGCTTCCCTTGACTGGGCATCCAATATGTGCCACACACTTCAAAAATCATTGCACTTAATCTTTACAACAGCTTGGCAAGTGTTAGTGACCCGTTCTATGAATAGAGACACAGAGGCACAAAGGGGTTTTAGCGGTTGGCCCCAGTCACATAACCTACACATGAGGAAGCTGAATTTGAACCCAGTCCATCTGACACAATAGCATGAGTCCTTTCCACTCGGCTACTCTGCCTCTGTGAAAAGACAGGGGATGGGATCCGACAGCAATGCAGGAACCTCGCTCCTCACTGCCCTGTCTGTTGCCCCTCCCAGGACTTCACACTTGGTAAATAATCAAGCCGGCAGAGCTCTGCTGTCCAGAATCTTGGGATGTAGAGATCACGGATTAATATTCCCTTGTTGCTGATAAGAACACTGAGTCTCAGAGGTGTAGTGAATTGCCCAAAGCCCCAAAGGTAGCAGGAGAGGAACCCACATCTCCCTCTCCTGCCTGGGGTTCTTCACCCCTATCTGCCGCCTTCACTGGGTCTCTGGTGAAGGACAGCCCTCAGTGGAAGAAAGAGCCTGTCTCTGAGGGCCTGCAAGGTGCTGCAGTCCCAGTCATCACTCACCATTCGATGAATGTACTTAGTGTGTAAGCCGTGCTCATCCTCGTCCAGCTGCGACTCAGCGCCTTCCACATCCTGTTTGTATTTGGGGCTGATTGCTACGATTATCATCACTGTCTTCTGTTAATGAGAAGGAGAATGCATGTTTATGAAAGTGTAAAGTGTGGTCCATTTGGTGAAGGCAGGCTGGACCCTGGCCAGCAGGGCTGTGCACTTCCTCTGACACGGTGGAGGATGGAGGGCTGGGCTCGTTCTCATGGACAGTGAAAGGCACTGGCAGACTCCTGTCTGCCCCCCTCCTCCCTGTCTCCCTCCCCGGCTCCCTGCAAACACGCAGAGCGAATGGCTCTGAGAGGGGCTCTTCTGAGTGGATGCGGTTTCATCCACCATTTTCCACAACCATCACTAATAAACGGCTAATGAAAGCCTGAATCACTAAGTGATTCTGCAACGTAGCAAAATGGCTCTGCAACAGCAGCGATGACAAACCCCCTCCCTCGTGCAGATCTAAGCTGCCAGTCACTGCGCTCCTGCCTGCCCTGCTTGTAGCTAGGAGGACCAGACTCCGCTGCACAAAGCAAACATCAGGCGGCAGACAAAGGGAAAAGCCACAAAACCCCAGCCTGCTGATGCTCTGTCCCCAGCGCTCTCACTCCAAAGAAGCAGCCAAAGCGCGGACATGGACACGCTAGCAACAATCAATTTCTATCTTGTTAAAGCACAAAGTGCCTGGGAAAGCTCTTCAGCCCCGTCCTACAAAACACTTGGGGTGGCCTCAGATTAAATTGAATTCTGCCGCTCCCTCTCCACTCCCGCCCTCATTTCCTCCTTTCCTATTCTGGTCAAAAAATTGTTTGCTCTGATGGTTATCAACCACCTGTGTCTGGTTTGACCGTTATTTCCTGCCTGTGCATGTCCAGGAGGGTGACCCCATCCTTCCTTTCCAAGTCTTTGCAGAGCTGCCAACAAGGGAGGCTTTGTTGATCCTGTCTCAGCCTGGGACTCGGGGGTACGCCGGTGGTAAAATCACTTCACGAGCTAATTGTCTTTCTCACCAGAACATAAACTCTGAGTCTCAGAATGTACTTACATCTCTAAGGTAGCGTTCCATCCACTTAATGATATCAATGCCTCGGATTCTATCCTCAAAAATGTCAATCTACAAGAAAAAGATGTGGGAGGTGGCTCTTAATGAGAAGCTTTATCTTGATGCTGAGCAGGAGAAAACACGAGACTATATACATTTAAAAAAGAAAAAAATTAATGCTATTTGCAAGGAGGAACATGTAAGTCTGAAAAACAAAGTACAATTTTCTTAAAATGTTCCCCTTTCAACATTAGTAGGCACTAAAATCCATAATTAGGATGTACAGGTATGCATCAAAATATATCTTTGCCTACACAATGATTATGTTTTAAAAATCTGAGAGACATGGACCACCAAGTTGGATGTGAGCCAATAGTAGACAAACCAAGTATATATATATCTATATGTACATATATAGTTTGAAAGGCAGACATGATTCTGGAACATCTTAATGTGCGTAAGGATTAAGATACAACTGTGATGCTTTACTTGCATTAGTCAGATCATTATTATGGTATTATGTCCAGTTTCAATCTATATGTTTATAAAGGATTGTATGAGACTTGGAGCAAATCCCAGGAATAGTCACACAAACAATTACTAAGATGGTGGAGGGAAGGTTTATGATGAAATTCAAGAGGTAGACAAATTGGGCCTTGAAAAGACATGTTAAATGAAATCTTTGAAGCTGTATTGGAAGGGGAGAAAAGCCAGTTCTTTTATTTCACATAAGACCAGATGTAAGGCCTTTCTTGGGCTCAGACTTGTTCTACAGCCAGAGATTAGTGAGTGTGTACAGGGGGCTCTTGATTGGAAGGGGGATTAAATGCTGCAATGGGTGATTCAAGGAGTGTCCTGAGGTGGCATTAGTTGATTCGGCCACACTGCTCCCTGATCCGTTGTCCTAGAGGGCATTCTGCAGTTTAGGACTGACCTAGTGGAGTCCTAGTCACTCAGCAAGCTTTCCGTGCCCTCTACAGTCTAGTCTCACCTCTTTGCCCCCCACCTGCCCTGCCTACTTTACTCCCTCCTTTGGCGTCCTTGCATTGCACCCTAAAAGCACAATGCAAGCCCCCTGCTGTCTGAATCCTCCCCAAACTCCACCCCATCGGGACCACAAGTGGCACTGGACAATGAACATGTTATTATAACATTCTCTTTTTCACTGAATGTCTCATTTATGTCTGCCTCATCTCTTCAACCCGAGCCCAAGCCTCCTGGAATGAGATCCTGCTTCATGTGCACCAAACTGGCAGATACATATAGGACACAATGCGAATTTAGGGTACATTCCATTACTGATGGGACGGCAAGTGTGGAATGCCATTCCTTTTGGTTTGGATGACCATTTGCTGCTTTAAAATGTCTGATGTGCAATGACTGCATAAAAATCCTGAGAAAGCTTTTGTTAACTCCCTCTTCCTATGCCAGTAATCCACTTCTATTATACAAGACAGAAGCCCCATAAACTTGGGGCTTAGACAGGCAACTTAGCTCTACTTTTGGTTCTACACATCCCACTTGCCTGACTCTGGAAACATTACTACAATTCTCTAAGTCTTATTATCTTCCTTTGTAATATGTGGTTAATAAACATACTTCCTAGGGTGGTTGTGAGGATTAAAATGAATAAACATGGAAAAGGCATCTCATAATGCCAGGCATGATATAGGTACTCAATAAATGATGATTATTATTATTGTTATCCCAGCACCTCAATTATTCCCTGAGGGGAGCTGGACACTCTGGGCGGCACAGTGTACTGGACACATCATCCATTTGTCTCTCCAGATCTCTGCCACAGTCCACAATTTCCATCAGGTCATCTTCCCTACAAGGCCACTGTACTGGGCCAAATTGTGTACCCGCCAATCATTGAAGTCTTAAACCCCTGCTCATGCCTCATAATGTAAATATGTTTGGAGATAGAGCTTCTAAGGAGGTAATTAAGGTAAATGAGGTCGTATAGGTGGTCTCTGATCCAATAGGATAGATACCCTTATAGAATGAGATCAGGACACAGAGGACAGACCAGGTGAAGACAGAAGGAGAAGATGGCCATCTACAACCCGAGGAAGAAGCCTCAGAATGAAATCAGTCCTACTGAAACCTTGATCTTGGACTTGTAGCCTCCAGGACTGTGCGGAAATAAGTTTCTGTTGTTTACGCCTCCCAGTCTGTGGTACTTTATGGCAGTCCCAACAAAGCAATGCAGGCACCCATTTCAGGTTGCAGTAACGTTGTTGCTCGCCTCTTTAGACCTCGGGCTGGTAGCACGGTGGCCGCAACGCCCTGCTTTCGCTCTTCGCAGGGTATTGCACTATTCCCTGTGGATTCCCCAAAACGCACCTAGCATCTTAAAAATAGTCCCTTTTTAAAACTCTCCTTAAATTACCCATTAAGTTTTTTTCTCCACTAAAGAGATCTTAATGTATTGGTCTAGTAACTTAGCTGTCAGGACTGGGCTCTGTGATTCTACCACAGGGCTCCATAGTGATAGGGGTTAAGGAGCAATTTAAATTCTGTCTATGTGGCCCCTGACTATTAAGATCACTAAAACCGGTCGTCTTCTCCTGAGGCAATCAGTATGCTTATTTGAAAATGACCAAAAGTAAGATCTTTTCTGAAATGTTGGCCTTCTGTCCTATGATTTGACTTTATGTTGTGGTTGCCACAGAACTATCCTATTCTAGAAATGAGAAATTGAAACGTTGGTCTCTACATAGTCATGAAGTTCAAGTGTATAAATCGTATGCTTTTTTAAGCTTTCAAACACTTCCATTTAAAACAATTATAAAGAAAAAATTTCATGACACTTCCAGCCAAGATGGAGGTGTAGGTAGAAACACTGTGCCTCCTCCCACAACCAAGTTTAAAGACAACAAAGTTTTAGTAATAAAAACGCAGCCAAAACAGAAAATTGAACTGCACGGAAGTCCCACAAAAACAAACCATTCAGCCAGACAAGTAAGAGGGGCGGAGTCAGTGGCTGCCGGAGCCGGGTCAGGCAGGAAAGATTGGCCAGACCAACCCAGGAGCACAAGCAGCGGTTGGCAGATCCCAGGCATGGGGTGGCAATGGGCTGACCCAGTGAGGGTGCAAGGCAGCTGGATGACCTCGGTCACACGTTTGAGCGCAAATAAACCAAGCGAAGGAGCTAACAGTGAGACAGACCACTCAGGCTAGTGCCCCAGCGATGGGAATTAGAGCCTGAAAGCACCAACTGGAAAGACTTTCAGGGTCGAAGTGCCGGGAGAGTTTGTTGGAGAGACCCACAGGGTCCTAAAGTGTACACAAGCCCACACATTCAGGAACCAGCACCAGAAGGGCCCAATTTGCTTGTGGGAAGTGGCATAGGGGACAGAAATCTGAGAGAGAGCGGAATAAACACCATTGCCCCTCTCTGACCCTGCCCCCACATACAACATCACAACCCGGCGACCTGGGTGGTCCCGCCCTGGTGAACACCTAAGGATCCACCCCTCAGAAGTAGCAGGTGTGAATAGACCAAAGCATTATGGCTCAAGAACAGCTCAAAGCCCCACAGCCAATAATTCTAAGTGATCAAGAGATAGCCAAACTTTCAGATGCACAGTTCAAAACACTGGAGATCAGGATGCTCACAGAACTGGTTGATTTTAGTCACAAATTAGAGGAACATATGAAGGCTAAACTAAGTGAAATGAAGGGAAATGCACAGGGAACCGATAGTGATGGAAAGAAAATTGGGACTCAAATCAATGCAGTGGACCAGAAGGAAGAAAGAAATGACCAAACAGAAAAGGATGAAGAAACAAGAATTCAAAAAAATGAGGAGAGGCTTAGGAACCTCCAGGACATCTTTAAACGTTCCAACATTCAAATTATAGGGGTACCAGAGGGAAGCGGAAGAGCAACAAGTGGAAACCTTATTTGAACAAATAATAAAGGAGAACTTCCCCAATCTGGCAAAGGAAATAGACTTTCAGGAAATCCAGGAAGCTCAGAGACTCCCAAAGAAGTTGGACCCAAGAAGGAACACACCAAGGTACATCATAATTACATTAGCCAAGATTGAAATGAAGGAGAGAATCCTAGAAGCAGCAAGAGATAAAGGAACTGTCACCTACTAGGGAGTTCCCATCAGACTGTCAGCTGATTTCTCAAAAGAGACCTTCCAGGCAAGAAGGGGCTGGAAAGAAGTATTCCAAGTCATGAAATCCAAAGACCTACATCTAAGATTGCTCTAGCCAGCAAAGCTTTCATTTAAAATGGAAGGGCAGATAAAGTACTTCTCAGATAAGGTCAAATTCAAGGAGTTCATCATCACCAAGTCCTTATTATATGAAATGTTAAAGGGACTTATCAAAGAAAAAGAAGATACAAAACATGAACAGTGAAAGAACAGCAAACTCACAGTTATTAACAACCACACCTAAAACAAAAGCAAACTAAGAGGACAGTTGGATCAGGAGTGGAACCATAGAAATGGAGATCACATGGAGGGTTAGCAACAAGGGAGTGGGAGGAGGAGAAGGGGGGAGAAGGTACAGAGAATAAGTAGCATAGACAATAGGTAGAAATTAGACAGGGGGGAGGGCAAGAATGGTATGGGAAATATAGAATCTAAAGAACTTGTGACACATGGACATAAACGAAAGGGGGGATGGTGGGGCAGGGGGTGCAGGGGGGAGGGGAATGAAGGGGGGAATGGGACAACTGTAATGGCATAATCAATAAAATATATTTTAAAAAATTATAAAGAAAATATTCAAATAAACACTCTTCTTAAATAATGTCAAATAATATTTAAAATGGACATTTATTTACTAAACATTCCCTCTTTATCCTTCAATGCTCTTCAACTATCCATAGATAGTTCCCTTAGTTTTTTGCCACCCTCTAGAAATCACTGACACTGAATACCCAGAGGAAGCCTTTGGGAAGGAAAAGAAGTGCTTTCAGTGTTTGAGGAAAGCCAGCCTTCCACGTAGGCTCCTGTGATATTTTATTTATTCTAAATAAAAAGTTACATGGCTTTAAGCTGTTGCAAGGCACTGCGGGGGGACTGGAGGAGCATGTGCTTCCTGAGATTCCTGAGCCAAGATCACAGTGAACTGGAAGGCTGGGCTGTCTACCTCCCCTGGAACTAGACTAGACCAGCTGAGAACCTGGACATGTGGTAGCAGCCTCACTACTGCATCCAGATGTTGAACGGCAGCTGTGCGTGATGAGGCCCCAGGCTGCAGGGCGTCTGTTCCAAACCTCACAGCCTGAACCCAACAAAAGACCCTGTAAAATAAGTGGGTGGCCTGGTAAAGCCTGCAGCCTCCTGCATCAGGAAGCACAATTGAAGTGGGCATGAAAAGGGGCAAAGGTGCAGAGTGTGGCAAGAGGCTGGCTTTTCCTGCAGGCCAGAAGTCAGCTACCTTTGGGCTGTTCGGAGGTGTTCAGGGTCACTCACTCAAAAAGTAGGCAAGGAAAACATGCTGGAGAATTTGGATACACTAGAATTAAAAATAATTACTTAAATTCATAAGTATTTAGTTCATAATCACATAAATCAAATAATATAGTTTAAAACATTAACAGCTATTGTCATTTGTCTCCTTTTTTTCCCTGCATTCACTTTAACTGTTCGGTCTTCTCTTTGAATAAAATACTTACTGCGGTTTGGAAGCCATTCACTAGCAAAAAGTTCACAAATTTCACCACCTCCATAGCTGTATCCATAGAATAGGTGATAAAGACTTTCCCTAAGAGAGATTTTTCACGCTTATTAGAAACTAGTCAAATAATAATAATTACATTTTGAACAACACTTGCACATTTTATGCAATGTCTTTTGTTCTAGAATAACAAAGGGAGCCTCTGGACGGGGCTGGTCTGAGGGCACGCGCTTCCAGCAGTGTGGAGCGCTGTCCTCAGGACACAGTTCTGCGGGCCCAGAGGAGCGGGGGCCTGTCCAGGGGCACGTAGACTGCTCGGGGTGCATGGGAAGAAGAGGCACAGGGGAGAGCACTGGCAGGCTGAGACAAGCCAAGGAGGTCTGAAAAACCACATGATGCATTAACAAAAAATCCATACCCCGGAACCTGCATGTCCTGAAGATCAGGCCACCACCTGGTTTCTTAGAGACACTTGGCACTGTGCCTAAGGAACACGCTCACAGCAGGCCAAGAAGCTGAGTCTTGCTAAGGGGCCGCCCTGCAGTGTCCTCCTTTGATCTCATGATGCTCTCTGCTGCCTCAAATTTTTGCTTGACAAGAGCAAGTGAGGGAAGAGGAAAAGTGGTTCCCCCACCCCCTCTGCCCTCTGCATCCACTTGGTGGGGGGGGGAAGGACAGGAAGTTGAAGTAGACTAAAGCACAAGTCAGAAATGTCAGTACAACTTCAGCAGCTTGAAGGAGAGATGTTGCCTCTGGGCGGTCGGCATCACTGCCTCCCTCGCGGCTCCCTAGGTCGACCTGGAGCAACAGACAGCATTTTGCCTCCCCATTTGACCCAGTCAGCGTGAGAATCGGTGTTTTCTCAGGCTTAAGCCTTAGGGAAATTATCTGGCTAGCACATTAATGTGGTAGATGAAAAATCTGTGTGTGTTGGTTTTTAGTCTGGAATGAAGCCACTAAACCTCAGGAAGCCCCTGGGGCAGAGAGTGGAAAAGAGGGTGGAGCTGAGGAGAAAATATGAGTCTGTATATATTAATCTATGTTTAGGCTCTTGTTTTTTAAAACATGCCTCTCAAATGCAAGTGTGTACAAGGGTCATACTGGCTCATTTAAGGAGCCAGGTGTGTCAATGGCACTCAACCTCTTTTCTTCTCAACACCCAACATTTAACCAATTCCTATATAAAAATTTAGGACACCCTTTATAGGTTATGGTAAGATAAATATGATTTATAGACTGATATCAGGACTATATCCTATTTGTGGTAGCATACATTCTTCAGAAATTCTCAAAATTAAAGTGTGTAAGGTTTTAAGAAGATTTAAAAAAGTTTTTGAATGAAAAACAACAATGGGTCATAGTAATAGAAATCTTCCAAGTCCTAAATGACTAAAGAGCACAGATTTTAGAAATGAGTAAATGTCAAGGGTTTAATTTTTAAGTTTGGTTCAAAGAAGTGCACAGATTTGGACAAGACTTCTTGAAGTTAACCTGAGCTTCTTGAGCCAGCATGGCAGAATATAACACTTTCACAAGTGGTGGGTGTTTGCTTAAAAATTCTGGAACTTATTGCCCCTGACTGACCTTACTAGGAGAATATTTTGGTGATATTTCAACATTTTTGTTTCTGGCTGTAAAATGTGGAAAAGGAATCATTACCTGACACAGAGTCAAATGTTTCTTTAAATAAAAGACTTAGTTTGCATTTGGTTGTAAGGCAGTGAGGAGAATGTGAGACTGCTTTTTCCCAACCGGATTGTTTATCCCTACAGGAAATGACCTCGTTCTTGATGGCCACTGCTAATTTATGGTGAGACACTAGTTCCCTGGCCAATACCACATGGGTAGCCAATTAATTTACCCAGGGACAAGTCCACTCAAGAGCATTGTTTGCAAGAGGGAAAAAGCACTGGGTTTATTTGCTGTTGGAATGTATGTTTAGGAAAATCTAGTGGTAAGCACTTTGTGAGTATTGCTGGTAGAGTCAAAATCACTAAAAACATTCATACAAAATGTTGGTTACTTTTTTAGCAAAGAGCAAAAAAGTAAATTTTATTCTTATTGTGTATATGAGAAATATCCAAGATTATGGATGAATAATCATGAAGCTCTCTCAAAGTATAAGGTTGGACAAGAAGAAGAAAGAAAGACACTGCAAACAACTTACGTAATTCTTCTGGCAAATTGCTTATTTTCAGAGTTCCTCTGGCTGGAGGGTTACTAGGGGGTCTGGGGACAGCGGCTGGAGATGGAGCCTGGGGACCCTGTGGTCTCAACTCTGCAGGCCACTCCCAGGACTCCTCAGGAGCTCCAGCTCTGTTACGGGGCTGGTTATACAGCTGGTCCCTGGAAAGGAGGAATACATTCATAGTTAAAATGTTCACTTTTATCAAAGGCACACCTTGAGAACAGGAAGGCTTTCAGAACTATGGGAAGATGCCAGTGAGCTCTCTCTCTTCTGCTTCCATTTGCTTTCTGAGCCACAGGAGCAAGGGTTGCTCCATGGAGTTTCAGTTAATGAGCAATAGGACAGGTTGCCATGAACAAGGGCCTGTGCTAGGGCTCCGAAGAAGAAAGCAGGGTTTGATTTCTCAACTCAAGGACTGCCTAAGTGGGAAGATAAGTCTCATGGGTAGGGCTTATAAGGCCTCCAATAAAACATAATATGTCATGATACGAGGTTGGTGTTACAGGCATTCAGATAAAAAAGGACTTTTACCTCATGATAGATAACATCTAATTATATATCAAAAAGTAGAATGGCCACGTACATTTAAAAGCATTTATGTTGTTAATATATGGATGAATGTCTGATATTGAAGATCCTTTCAGGAGGTTTCTACCGTGTGGTCACATGGCATCTGTACTATTGCTTTGGTTGCCAAGATCCCCATAAACGTTCTGCCAGAAGAACTATCAGACGCACTCATGTGAGATTTGGAAGTCAGAAGGAAATGGAACCCATGCTTCTGCTACTTCCGCGGTTTCTGTCGGTAAGGGCCGTCATGAGGTGCCGAGTTCCTGGGGAAGCACCCCAGTTTTCAGTCACCAGCTTTGCATTGTTGCAGTCAGGGCATGGGCGTCCATTTTTGGGCAGTGCCGATCCAGCCGGCACAGAGGGGATGCAGGAGCTGCAGCGCTGCCGGCCACCGGGTTCTGGTTGTGCTGTGGCAGCGCCGTCAAGAAGGGCGGGCTCCACAGTGACTTTCTGATCCTCTGCCTCTCTGACCGTAACAAAGGAAGCAGCCCGTTTGGTGCCCTTTTCCGTGGTGTTGCTCTAGGATCATCCCTGGACGCCCAGCCTCAAGTTTGCTCCTCTGACCTTCGATAATTTTGTAAGCACCCAGTTTCCAACTGAAGCTCCTGTTTAAAATAGCTGGAGTTGTTTTACTGAACAAGGGGACTAATTTTTTTCTTTGAAATAACTTTAACCCCAATGTGGCACTATGTTAATATTTTAAATTTCCAGGTAGTAGGAACATGGATGTTTCTATTCGTTTTGTGTCTGAGATTATTTTAAATTAAAACAAAGTCTTGATTGCAAAATATGAGCATATGCCGATTTTTAATAGATTATTATGTTTTCATATTTTTACCCAAAAAGGTTATCAGAAATTCTGAGATGTATGCAATAGGATTTTAAATAAAATTATACATAATCCAAATTATATTTCTAAAATTTGAACATTTGATGAAGTTATTTTTATTTTATATTTTTATTAATACAGAGAAAAAAATTCTATAAAACATGACTTCTGCTAATGGGAATCCAGTTCCATATCTTTCTGTCATTAAATCCCTTTATCCTTAAAGTTGTTTGGTTATTATAGAAGATATTTGCTCATTTGACAAAAGTCATAAATTGTGAAGCTCCGTTTACATGAGTTTTTCCTACATATTTGAGATACATAAATTGAGAGAAAAGTGAAACTTGAAGAAGAATCGAATGACAACAGTGAGAAGAAAAATGAGTGGCATGTTAGACAATTGCAGTCAAGAAAAATCAGAATTGTTTTTCCAGAATAAGTATAGAAGAGACCTAATAATGGTGTTCAACAAGTGCGAATGCTTTCTTTTACAAAAGAAAATCACAGATTATTTTCAATGTCTACTGGGAACTAATTGAATTTAAAACTCCAAAGTAAGAAATGGGTTTAAACAGGTACACAAACTAGGGATATAAAAAAAGAACCCGCCGGAGGTGGAAGTCAGTTAGAGTAAAACTAAAGCTCTATTTCATGGGCTAACGGGCCAGGTGATCTGAAGTGTGACTCGGTGAGAACCAAGTGTGACTCAGCACCTTAAGAGCCTTTCTTTCAAGAGAATTCTGATCAGTCATCAGTGGCTTTGTAAGTCTGGTAAAGAGATTCTTGTCAGCCAGTTTCCATTTCCTCCCGACCTGCAAAGTCTGTGTGGGGCGTTCCACTGTGCGACTTGGCCATTAAACGGGGGAGTAAAGCAGCGGTGTTTTGATGCACCTCATTTGTGTTGGCGTCATGCTTTTTCATGTTCAGACTGTCTGCAGGTTGGCCCCTCAATACTTACTGATACCTCGGGAGCCCTGGGGAGGAATAGTCTCTTTGAGCAGGCCTCTCTTCATCCCAGGGGCTGGGATAGTTCAGAACGACCTTCTGCACAGGGTGCGGGCCTCTTTCACTGGCTCCAGGTGGGGGCTGCCCAGGCAGGGCTGGTTGGATCACTCGCTGGTAGGCTGCCCGAGGGTAGTTGTGGCCATCTGTAGGCAAAGACAGCCAAGAGAACAGGAAAGACTGACTCCACCCGCTTCGTGTGAAAAGAGAGATAAGTAAGCTCATTGAAAATGTTTGCCTTGATCCCGGCTGAGGATTCCAGATGTTGCTTACCACCTCTGCGATGTTGTTTGCCATATTCCCGTACTATCACTTACTTGATAGTTTTTATTAAATTGAGTCATTGTGGGTGTTCTCTAAAATAAAAGCATCTGTGAAATCCTGAGTTTGGTGTTCTAATTGGAAAGCTCCACACAGGCCCCTATGTTAATAAGATACTTAGGATAATCCAACCCCGGAGAACCTCTCCCACACCACCTTTCCTACTGTAATTCCCCCAAGTTCCTAAAACCAGGCTAGGAGAAATTGTCCCCACGATAGATACAGAATCACTACTTTTCTCTCTTTTCCCCATGAGTGGACATTCACACACTGCTTTCTTTTACAAAGAAATAAATGAATGAAAACTGGGCTCATACCTCTGGGAAATAGCCAACTAGTTGGCAATACCACCCAATGTTTTTGGTCCTCTCTTGCTAAAGCCCATGTGGACTCAAAGCCAGGTCAGTTCAGAGAGGGCAGGGCTCGGAGCGCAGCCAGGTCTGGCTGTGACTTAGGTGACTGTGTAACCTAGGAGAAAGTGGGTCCCACCAACCCTAGGAGCAGCGAGTCTCAAGGGAAGAAGGGCTGCCTGCCTGTTTAGGTCAGAGAGGAGCACTGAAGGCCAGAGGACAGAAGCAGGGGACCCGGTACCCCTGAGAGAGGAAGGCTCTAAGGGAACTTCCCAGGCTCCTAGTGGCTCCAGTGTGGGAAATCTGAGAGGTGGGGATGTGCCTTGGGGGTGGGCCCAGCCTCTGAGGGCACTGGAGAGAGCCAAGTGCGTAATCCTGCAAAATGAGGCGGGAGCATTTCCTGTGAGCCCAGCATTGCCACCTCTGTTCACATAAGAAGCTGGATGATCCAGGAGGCCTAGCCAGTTAGGGCAAGAAGAAACCTTGTTTTTCCAAAAATATATATGGTCTTTATCTTTTGTTTCTGGTTATAAAAAGTAATAATCAAGTTTTCCCTGTAGGTAGGATACATGCAAGGTGAAATAAAACTTGCCAGCAAGGAAGTAACAGACAAGGTAGGTTAGAACCAGAATGTTGAGGGCGAGACTGTGGCTAATCATTGTATTCTTAGATTGGTAAGGAGTCAGGAGCCATTGATGTTTTCTGGGGAACTTTCAGGGGAATGATGTCCTCAAATACAGAACAGAAGACAAAAAATGTGTGTGTTCACTTGGATGGCTTTCTTGAGGTCGCCACTGTCCGGATGCAGGAAACTTGGCTGGGTGACTGTGGAAATGTGCCCAAGCCAGTTACTCAAGCATGGTCAGATTTCCTCAATTCAATCTGTTGTCTGCTTTGACCTGTGACACTAGCCAGGTCATTTCTGTCATGCTTACTCTGACAAAAGTGACCATTCCCCTCCAGCCCAGGTTCTCTCCTGGCCCTGACTGTAAACCTTGCCCTACTATTGCTAAGGACTGGCCATGACATTGGGGGCTTAAGCAAGGGGAAATGGCTAAAAGGAACTGCCTGGGTCTATCCCAGCCAAGTAAAGGAGACCATGACTTGGAGGGCATTTCCAAAGTGGGGAGACAGAGACCCCTGTGTTCTAAGATAGGATACACTAAGCAGGTTTTGCTTTGACAGCCTTCCTGGGACTGGTCAGATTATGTCTCAAAGGGTCCAGATGGCAAGTTTTGGGCCAACAGGGCAAGTCACTACCACTGCTCCTTTTTCCCAGATGGAAAAGGGCAAAAGGCACCACTCCATCAGGTCACCAGGCAGGGCCAGCCCTGCTTTCAGCTAGGTCAAGCTGTAGGCACAACCCTCCAGAGATCCCTTTGCACTTAAAATCCACCCTGCATGATTGGATCCTGGTCCTTCTTGGTCTCTTACCTCTTCAATGCTCTCACATGCCCATGGAGCCCCAACTACCCTGGCCATCTTTGTTCACCTGGAACACCCCAAGTTTGTCCCCACTTCTGGGACCTTCAGTTGCCATCCTCTATGCCCAGAATATTTTTGCCTTATGTCTTTACAAATCAACTTCTTGTCATTCAGGGCTCAGCTCAGATATCACCTGTTCCTCTAGTTGTCCTATCCCATTCTCCCCACGCCCATTTTATTTTCTTCACAGCACTTATGTGTTTGTTCAAATAAGCATGACTCTTACTTATCAACTTCTTGTCCACCTTCCCTTCTAGCATCTAAGTTCTATGAAAGCACAGACTGTGTATGTTTGTCATCATGTCTCCAAGCACAGTGCCGGCTCCAGGGGATGCTCAATAAATGAATGAATGAAGACTGAAGAGTTACAGTCTCCCATTCAAGCCAACTCCACACACACACACACACACACACACACACACACACACACCCCAAGACAAGCCACTAGGATGGCACAACCTGCTTGCTGGGTCCTGGGTCTTCTAGATTACTCTCATCTGCTGTCCATTTTTTTCAGTCCCTCCCTCAGGAAGTAGGAAGAACAAAGACGAAGCAAAAGAAGAGAAACTTTGCCAGTGGCCTTGAACGTTTTTAATACTTGAAGCGATTTTTGCTTCCCATATCCATTCATAAGTGGCTAATAAGGTTTTGTTTGCTTTAAAAGGACTACCAAGCTCTAATCATAGGGTTTGTTTCTTTTCCAGAAAGCGGATGTTAGTGCTGTTAATCAAAAGCCTTTGAATCAAGGTCATATGATTTCTAACAGATTATTTTGCGCACAACACGTTTTTGTCTCATAGCAACAAATCTTATCATTAAAATCACCAAGGCATGTGGGCTAAGTGTTTGATTAGCTGTAACTTCCATTTCTGAAATGGCCACCTGTGGTAAAAACTTAAACCTAAGGTTTACATGAGCAGATGAAATGATCCACTTCATCTATTTTTAAATTAAGGCACTGACAATATAGTCCTCTATGCTGTCCTTTGATTGTTTTTTAAAAAAAGGAATATTGAATAGCAGAGGATATATCAAACATAAGCTTTCCTTTTTTGTAAGTGGAATTTGGTCTTGTCTGGAATTTGACTGGTTGTGTAGAAAAGTTGCTAAATAAAAACTATGTTTAACTGATAGATGAATATCTTTCATTGCTCAATTTTTGATCATTTCAATGGCAAGTACCATTTTGATGAAGTCTTACTAGGTTAGTTGGGTGCCACATATATAATAATGATGAACACTTACTGGGTACTTGCTATGTGCCAAGCACTATTCTACATTCTTTATTCAGGATTATAGACTTCGATGTTCTGTTTTCCTAAAGAAGTTTAACTTCGAATCAGATCCAAATTTCTTGCCCCGGCCCTTACATCCATCAGCTTCAGCATACCAAGTCTCTCCCTGCTTACCCTGCTGCAGCTCCGCAGGCTTGCTTTTGGCATCTTAGCAAGCTCCCACCTCCTTGACCCTCTCTCATCCTTCAGGTTTCAGCTAAGATGTGTCTTCCCCCAAAAGGCCTCCTCTGGCCAGCCTGTCTATTAATGCCTGTTCTAACACCTGGTTATCACTTCCACTTGTTTTGTTTGCTGATTTCTACTTATCTGTCTCCCAGTACACTGCAGAAGAAAAGACCATGTGTTACAGTTACCAATGTACACCCAGTGCCTAGCAGAGTACTTGGCCAATATTTGTTGAACAAATTAATAAAGGAATGGAAAAGTTCTGTTTCCAAATCCCACTGACCTTCTGTTCTTGCCACTCTCCTGTAAGACAATTAGAGATGGCCTTTCCAGTGCTGGATGTCTCAAAGACTGTACTCACAGTTAGGGATCACTCCTTTCCCTGGGATATAGGGAACAGGTTTCTTTTTATTCATTCAACAAAAATTATTAAATTTCTATGGCTGGACACTTGGTGAACACAGATAAATAGCATACAGTTCCCTTAAGTAGCTCAATGTAAATTGAGACAGAGAGAAAATCTGTGTGTCCGTGGGTGTCTGTTTTGAAACACAAACCCACACTTGTTAGTGTGTGAAGAGAGGCGTGCAAGTCAGCAGCCACCTACGTGGTAGACTTAAGAATTGCTGCCCAGAAAATCTCCCCCACTGACTTGTCCCCAGTGTCTAAAAACCCATCAAGAGAGTTTATTCTGTGGGAGATGAAGAATAGGAGGTGGTGGGTGGTGTGATACACAAACGAGTTGTTAGCAGGTAGCTCTTCGATTCTGAGGCAGTGTTCATCACAAGACACAACACACATCTTAGAATACTAAATCGTGCCCAGAATGCTATGTTATTTGTCAATCTTATGACCATCTTGGCCTGGGTACACATGGTTTCATGTTACAGAGTTTTTATCACTTGGAATTTGTAAACCAAATCCTAATGAGGTTTTCCATTGGACAAAACATTCAACATTGTTCTTCCTTATTAAGAATGGTATTAAAAGAGTTTATGAGAGGGCAAATAAAAACTGATTTTCAAGTTGTCGAAAAATGTCATGATATAATGCCGTTTAGTTAGGAAACAAAATGGCCAACATACACTGTTATAGGAACTCGCTCACTCCCAGCAGCTGGGGTTCTGAAGAGCAACTCCTTTCCCCATCATTGCTTCCCCCCAGTTTGTCTTTTCCTTACTTTTGGTTGTGCCTGCACTCTAGCACACAAATCATCATTTTTGGGGGGGTCCACATGAGCAACAGTAGGTATGTATCCATTATTTTATTCAGTCTCCTTGGTAAAGCAGGAATTTCACAGTAAAAATAAGGGGCTCTTTAGACTTAATATGTCCTTTTTTCCCTAATTTATTTATATTATGGGTTTCATTTGATTGCACAGCCACGATCTCTATTCTGGTAGCCTTTCCCAGAAGGATTCTCAGGCTGCCTTCTGCGATGGTTGGGGGGAGAAGGGAACACAAGCTTACTTCCACTTTTTATTTTCACTTGCTTTGAAAACTTTTTTTTTTCACATGAAAGGGGAGACCGGTAACCATTTTTGCTTTAACTTGCAAAGGCAAAGATATGCCATTTGCATGGTGATCATTATTTATTTATATTTTCATTAACAGATGAGGAAGTAATGCTCTTCTAAAGCAGAGTAGAACCACGTAGCCATGGTTTCCAACTGCACGAGCATCCCTTAGGTGAACAGTTCTTTTGAAGTGGTTTTGTTGGCAATTAAACGCTGTTATAGCCCTGACATGAAACTAAGCATTGTACACATGCTTTGAATACTTAAAATCTGTGCCAGCAAAAAGAAGCTGGAAGTCAAGGAGCACTCTACAGAGCTGTGCTGTAGGGTTTTAATTTAAATAATAACAATAATGAAGAGCTGCTAGTTACTGAGGGCTTACTAAAACCCAGCCATGTTCCTAGTATCTTTAATTCATCGTCTTATTTAATCCTCACAGCAACTGTCATTGAAGCCTTTGCTATTGGGGCCTCATGACATATCCTGGGCTTGCATTGCTCTGGAGAAAAACCATAAACACTGGGCTTCCTTGACAAAAAGAACCCAACCCTGATCCTCTTCTCCATGATCGGATGCCCTCGGAGCCAGGGCCAAGACACAGGGTGAATTAGGGTGAGCTACCGTGTATACTCTCATTTCCCCTTACTCTCCTTTTTTCTTTCTAACTTTTACTTGTTTTTCAATTATAAAAGTAAATGTATCAACACTGGATGTTTTTCCACTTAATCTTTTTTTAATGTCAGAATGTGTACTTTACTCTGTGGTAGGGGCCTAGTTGTCCATTGTATAAGCCAATCAGCTTCCTTATCTGTCCCCTCAGTGATAGGGATTTTAGTTTTTATTTTTACTCTAGTGCAACAATGCTCTGATAAAGATCCTCGATCATGTATTTTCACGTGCTTGTTCAGTGTGTCTGTAGCATGGACTCCTACAAGTGAGGCTGTGGGGGGCCGAAGAGGAAGCACATTTAAGTTTTGCTGAACAGTGGGAGTGCCTCCCGGGGGGGTCGGGCCCATCCCCCATCCTACCCAGAGCAGATGGGAGTGTGGTCCTTTCTCCAAACCCCACTGCCGCTGGCTGCCACTCAAGGTTTTTAGTTTCTGTGCACCTAATTAGGAAACACATATCTCTAAAATTTTTGTACATACAAACTTTTCTTAAATTCAGTAATGTTAGGCTTGGTTCCATATGTTTATTGGCTGTTTGTATATTTTCTGTGAACTGTTCCCCTTTCCTGTCCAAGTTCTCTCCTCTCTGCCTTTCATCACCTCTCTTCGCTCCCGGGACCCCAGGCGGCCCCTTCCTCTCTCCCCTCAATAGAAGCAAATGATACAGAAAGCTAAGGGAGGGGACCTGATGGAAGGAACCAGGCTATGAGGTACTGGAGGCTAAAAGTGTCCCTGGGCAGGAGTGTTTGCAGTTTAAAAGAGCCTGCCCAGGCCTACCTCCAAAGACTGGACTCTTAATGGTGCCAGTTTAGGCTTCAACAGGAAAAATGTTTTCAGATAGGAAGGTCTTCCTGGGACCCTCATATTCCAACAAGTCAAAGCTTCCTTTGTATGTCACAGTGAGGCTTTCTCCTGTTAGGAGATAAAAGCAACTGCTTGGGATTTAGTATCACTAAATCCTTGACTATTCACACATCTACACATTAATCTAAGAGACTAAGCAGAGATGCAGGTAACTTATGTACATAATGTCTGTTACCATCATTGCTTATTGGATAAAAAACTGGAAACTCTTCAAAATGTCCAATAATGGAGAATAAAACAATTGAGTAGTTTCATCTGATGAAATACTATGTAGCATTTTTAAATGATGCTAGAAGTGCACTGAATGTCCTTGGAAACTAGTTTGATTTGATGGTAAATGTATACGCAAGGAAAAAAAACCCAGAAAGAAATGTGTCAAAAACCCAATAGGAAATTATATCTGGGCAACGGAAATACAGACTGAACTTTTGGACATATTCTAATTCTGAGCATGAACAAATATTACTATTGTGATCAGAAAAATTCTCTTTAAGTGCAGATAATAAATGTTTTTAAAAAGTAGTTTATGGTATTCTTCTCACAAAGTATTACCTTTTAACCTGGAAATCGTTGAGAAACAAAGGCAATCCTGTCAAGGTTTGTTTCTCTTGCTTAGGGAACTCCAGCCGCCACACGTGCTAATGCTGGACACGCAGGGCGGGCGGTGGCGCTGGGACTCCCGGCAGTCAGCTCCCAGCTCCCACCACCCTGCATCTCGCCTTCGGTCCTCAGGGGCTCTTTCTCCTCAAGCCCTGCCGCTTTCACGCCTCCTGGCCTTTCTCTGAAAGTCAGGTTCCTTCTTACCTGTTTCTTTTAAGTTAAATTCCTCTATCTCCTTCCTTTAAAAATGATTAATTACTTACTGCCCTATTCACTTTAGGGAGCTTTATACTAAGTGTACATGCACAATATGTAAAATGTGGTTTATACAGCACTTGTAATTCTTTCTATAATTTATTTTAAAACTAGGTGTCAGGTCTTTGGAAAGACTCTTCTTGTACCACTTGAATTGCTTTTGGTACAGTGTTTATTTGCTAAGAAAAGTATCCTATCTCAGAGCCCTGTGTTTGAGCTGTAAAGTCCTATCGTTATTTTTCAGTGGCCTTGGTGGAGATTCAATACCAAGGATTACGATGAACCTTTTATCTCAATTTAAGACTGTATCACTTTCAGAGTGCTTAATGTACTGATGCATATTATTCACTCATTCATTCGTTCATTCAGAAATAATTTACTGAGAGTCTGGTATATGGTGGTCACTGTGCTAAATGCTGGGGAATTGTGGATTGAAAATACATCTTACTGATGTGCAAAAGCTTGCATTCTGGAAAGACAAGTGGACATACTGGTTATTAGGTGCCCTGACAGGCAGAAAACAAGGGTACAGATAGCCTGAAGGAGGGGCTCATCTAGGGAAGTTTCCAGAGAGAACAATTGAGCTAAGTCTTAAAAGATGTACATAGTGATGGTTGTGTAACTCTGTAAATATACTACAATTCATTGAATTGTACACTTAAGATGGGCAAAAGGTAAACTTTGCAGCATGTAAATTAGATCTCAATAAAGCTGTTTAGGAAAAAGAAGAGGTGTAGACCTGGGTCAAATGCACAATAAGGGAAAGAACATCCTGGATGGGCAAATGCTTGGGGTGTGAAACAGCTAGACAAGTTGGGGGACTGCCGTCCTGGGGTGCAGCTAGAAGAGAGGGCAGCGGTGGGTAGCTGCAGTCTGCTAAGGGATTGAAGCAACGGAATCACAGGAGCAAAGTGAGCTTCAGGTAATGGTATGAATTCAGAGTCTCAGAGACATTCTGATTTTTTGGACTGAAGGCCCCTTTCTTTGCCAAATCTAAGATGGATAGGAAGCATGCAGAGGAAGAACCCAGATGCCCAAGCATTAAGACAACAAACAAGTTTTCTAGAAGTTTTTTGGGTCATCTTCTTGCCTCTAGGCAGGTTTCCGTTAAACTAACCTAGACAGAGGAAAACTTCTTTGCTTTTAAAGCTTTCTAGAGAGGTAGGCTCCAAGGGGGACAGGTTTGGGGCCACGATACAGCATTCTTCTAAAGCTCCTTGCAAATCCAACCACACACGGAAGGCCCTATGGGAAGCCAAATGCCCTCCCTGCATTCTGACCTGTCTGTGCTGATCTGTGGATGCGAGGCATTGACCTTGTTTACCCAGTCACCCAGCCCAGAATGTTCAGAAGAGGGAAGGCTCACTTACATGGCACCTGGTGATGGGGGCCTCCAGGACAATGGTGCTGATAGTTCCACTGAGCGTGTGGGGAAGGGTTGGGAGGCAGCTGTGCACACGCTGGAGACCTCTGCGGTCCAAACGGATCGTACTCCCTGGACCTGAGAGGTCTGGGGAGGTCCTGGGGGTAACATGCAGAAGTGAGGGGCAGGGGCCTTTCCAGCTGCCTGATGCCCAGCACGTCCCGGGGCTGGGAATCGTACCCCGTGTCTATCGTCGGCAGATCTGCAGCTGCTCGGATCCTGTGCAGCTGGGGCTGTGGCACCATCCCTTGGCTATGACCGGAGGAGTCTGCTAAGGCATTCGGCAAACTTTGATCTGATTTGTGTGAGTCATGGCCAGTGTCAGGAGAAGCTGCTGAAAGCCGAGATCCCAGCCATTGATTACGTTTTTCCATAAATAAAAACTGATGCTCTGGCGGGAGGGCTCCAACCACAGATTCGCTGGCAGCAGAGCAGTCCGAGGGCAGATCTTTGCCTGGGTCCGGATGTGCCCTCCAGAAGCTGTCTTCACCCTCTGCCAGGACTTTGGTGCGCAGGCAGGTGATCTGCCGGGACACAGGCCGCTGGCAATTTGAAAGTTTCAGGTGTAGGTGAGCCTGAGAAAAGTCTCCTGAGGAACAGTCAGGGGTTTGGGGTGTGGACAAGCTGTTGGGTGCCATGTTCCTTATATTTGGAGCAAGTGGTTCTGATTCCTCTTCCAGGGAATATTCTGGGATTGGTTTTAGTAACTGACTTGGGTAAGGTTCTGATTCATCAACCTCCACAGGAATGCTTCGGTTCATTCTAATTTCTGAAAGAAGAGAAAACAGGCCACAGACTTAGGAGACAGATCATGTTTTGGAGCCTCTACTTTATGACCTTAAGGGACCTCATTTGAGATATGGTTTAAATTAACGGTAGTGTGACACCAACGTTGGGGCTTGTAGAGCCCCAATCACATAAAATTGTTTGCTTATCCTTCAGGCAAAGGTGCTTGTGTTTATTAAGATATTTGTATCTGGACGGAGACTCAAAGAATGCAGCTGGACAATCCTGCAGCAGACAGCACAGGGGAAGACAGACGAAAATCAAAGGCGGAGTGTCGAGGAAAGAGAACTGAGTCCTGCTGTGGGCTGCTTTGTGTGTGCTCACAGATGTACAGGATGTGTGCGGAGGAGACACAAGACAGTGTGACACAGGTCGTCTCTGGGGATGGAATTGAGCTGGGGGAGAGATGTGAGAGAGAGAGACATTCAAAATTTTGCTGTGTGACTACTGCCCAATGAAAAAAGGAAAGGAAAAAAAAAAAAGAAAAGAAATCCTGTACTTAAAAGCACTGAGAAAAGGTCATGGTGACATTGTCCACTGAATGACTACAGGCTGCTGAGAGGACTTAATTTCCTCTGGCAGTGTGCCCTGCAATGAAGATAGCCATGTGCATCTGGTTTGTGATGTACTGGCTGACCTAGCAAGTTTTGCTAAACCAGCCTTTAGCCCACAGCCCAGGTAATACTGGTTTTACCGGTGGAAATAGAGCTCTTAATTGACATAACAAAATGAGGAAGAAAACTGGCTCCCCTTGTGTACTGTGAGGGTGCCCCAAGTCGCCTAGGCTCAGGGGAAGGAAGACAGCTGTGAGTGACTGGAGGCCTGGGAGTGACTGAAGTCTGCGCTCCCCTCCCAGGCAGGAGCAGGTGTCCTGGGAGGGGACAAGGTCATGAAAAGGGAAAAAATCCCAGAGGTTTGTTTGATGCAGGCCTTGCACTGAGCATACTTTAAATACCACGCACAGAAAGGAGTGGTGCTCGTGGGGGTAGGTTTTTAAATTGATATTTTGGATCCGTGTAGAATTTCAACCACAAATATTTACTGAGGGCTTACTGTACCTAAAATCATGGGGTACCTCAACTATTGTTCTAAGACAAGTTTTGAAAAATATGAATTCACCTCCTCCAAAGCCCTGTGTCTAACCCAGTGGCGACACACCAGCCTGCATTTTCAAATGCTCCCCCTCAGAGCAGAGGTGGCGCCTGCCCTTTCCCACCAATTCTGTCTTCACTGCCTGTAGAAAGATACCAGGATCTGCCTCTCTACTGTGTGCCAGACGGATGTTAACACTCTTCTCTTGCCCACACTTGGTAACAACCTTACCCATCTGCTGCACATGCTCTTTGTACGATTTTCTAGCACAACAGAAAACTATGGCTTCCCACTCCCAGCTGGCCCCCCTCTCCCTGCCTCAGTCTCCTTTCTCTCCTTCCCAGCCTGCGTTCCAGGCTGTGTGGGTCCTTCTCCTTGGCTCTGCAGAAAAGAGACCTCATCACCTAAACTGATTAGGAACCTACCAAACCCACACATATTTCAACTATTTGTGATTTTTCAATGCTCGCCATCATTTTCCTTTCATTCTTACAATTTTCTACAGCTATGAAATTGGATATGGCGTGCAACATGTTCTTCAGCTGGTCAGGAAACAAAAGCGTTTTCTGAAGGGCTGGCTGAGCGTCCTGTCATCTGCCAGCATCTGCGGGCCCACGGCGGGTGGGGGACTCGAGGGACATCAAGCAAGCCCACTAGAAAGAGGACTAAACTCTCTCAACTATTTCTAGTGATGCGATTCACTGTCCTCACCTGCCGTTTACATTCTCCCTGGGTTTTCAAATGTGAATACCATAGAAGTGCTTTCCTAAATGACAACAAAAAGTTGCGAATTCTACTCTTTTTCCTGAGGAGACTTCAGGGGTTAGGAGGGAGCTAACAAAAGAGGTGGCAAGTGCGGTCATGTTACATAACTGGCAATCTGAGGCCCATTCCGTGGGAGGAATTCTACAGTGAAAACTGGCCCCTGAGACGGTAGTAAACTGGCACAGTAACCAGCAGCCTCTCAGGAAAGTTATGGGATTAGTAATCCTTAAAAAAAAAAAAAAAAGAGGACCCTGATGTTTTGAACATGTTGCTATCAAATAGCTAAATAGCAAATAATTATTGAATCCTGCTATGTGTCCAACTCAATGCTGTGTGTCCTCCTTAGGCATAAGCTTACCTAAGACTTATTTACAATAGGTGATACCTACAAGTGATGCAAAATTCAAGAGGACAAATGGGTATATAGCAAAATAATAATCAAAATTATTTCTAAAGACATAGGAAACATATCCCTACCTTCAAGTTGCCCGTGATCCAGATCAAGAGAGAAAACTAATACAGGAAATCAAAGGCCCTGCTTCAGGGCCTTTGCACTTGCTATTTCTACTTCTCAGAACATTCTTCCACCACATAGTGCATGGCTTGCCTGCTTTCTCCTTCAGGTCTTTACTCAACTGTCACTTTCTCATTTAGGTCTCCCTGGTTACCCTTTCCAAATTTTTTACATGCCCTTCTCATTCCCTCTCAACCTTGTTTTACTGTCCTCTCTAGCAGTTATCATCATGTTACATACTATGACACGTATATGGTAAATACAAACATCTACTAGATTCTTTGTTTATTGCTGCCCCTGTTTTCTCCTGGAATTTAAAGTTCCTGAGGGTGTGGTTTTTGACTACTCTAGTCACAGCTATATTCTCAGCACCTAGAACTATACCTGGCACATAGTAGGAGCTCAGTAAATATTTGTTGAGTGAATCAATGATTGATGCCTGCTTTGGAGAGGTGACAGATCTGTGTGGCTGGCAGGATCACTGACAGTGAGGACGTCAGGATCCATGAGAAGTAGCAGGAAGTATTTGGTGGACTGAATCCTCAGAGTTCTTCAAATTATGCCATATGAATACGCTTCTCTCTTCTTTGCTTTCTTCCTCTCTAATATTTATAAGTGCCCAGTCAGGGTCAGGCCCCAAGGTGGGCTTGGGTCATGCCTAAGAGGTCCCACCAATGGTCAGAGTGGATCACAACCCTACTTGCAAAATAAAGGTGATTCTGCCACCCAATGTGACAGGAACCTGTGATGGACAGCAAGGCAGCTGGCCTAGTCACGTGTCCTCGGAGCTTGACCCTAATATCACAAGGGAGGGGCACATGCACCTACCACGTGGACACCTCCCAGCCTGAGGCCCTCCTGAGGGTGTCCAAGAAGAGTTCCACAAAAATGCCACATCAGAGGACAATGGCAGATTAATGGGTTGAGCTGTGGTTCTAGCTCTTGGCAGTTTTATTTTTTGGTCTTTAATGTCAATATTGTAAAATACTACACATTAAAAAAAAAATCACTCAGTGTCTCACCACTTCTAACCATTTCCATTCTCCCTATTTTGTTCCAGGATTCTCCACATGATAACATGGTTGTAACCCGGGCAAGGCCTGTGCTCCAGTCCCTGAGAAGAGGGACACTGGATGCAAGTGGAAAACCCTGTTTTCTAGCTATGACCTAGAGAAGGCTCTGACCCCCCCAGAGGGATGGGAGACCCGCCAGCCAGGCCCCTGCAAGCCCTGGTGCCGGCACCGCCCTGGACAGGCCCTTCAGCACGAATGCTGGGCTCCCAGCTCTGCAGCCTGGAGAAGCTTAGGCCTGTCAGACCCGGAGGCCAGTTTGCCTCACTGTAGCAGATCCCTGGGGGGAGCAGAGAGGCCGGAGGTGGAGGGAGCCCAAGGGAGTTTCTGGCTCGGAATCTCTTTCCGAGGCCCACAATACAGATGCCCAGACTCCTGTATATTTTAGTTTGGTTTCCACCCACGGGTAAACAGGTTCTTTCATACTTTGCCAAGGGAAGTGTAATCCGTACAATTTGGTAGAAACTATTTGAAAAGCTTGTGTCCTTTGACCTTGTAATTTTGCCCCTAAGAATTTCCTCTACGGTGCTGTGTGCCTATCATGTGAAGTGAGGAGGCCACAAAGATGGGCAACGCGACGACGTTTATAATAGCGAAGACTAGAAACAAGCCATGTGTCCAAAAAGATTCTGATTTTTTAAAAACCGTTGTCCTGTTGTATGGCGAATACTCTGTGTCTTTTAAAAAAGGCCGAGGAAGTGCTGTGTGAACGCGTGTGGAACTATCTCCAAGGTGTACTGCGAAGTTAAAGAAAGAGCAGAGCGCGGCACCCTTTGTCCCGTGGGAGGCTGTGTCTGCGCACACCCGTCCTCGGACTTCCAGGGCAGGGGCTGCCTCCGAAAAGGGAGCTGGGGGCTGGGAACAGGGGCAAGAGGGAGACTTGCTTTTCAGAGCGTTTTATACCTTTTACATTTTGTGCCAACTAGCTACATATCTACTTGAAAGACTTAAGGAAAAAGAGAAAAGAAAAAGGGGAAGCTCCACTAGTGATTCCGATGTTCACAGAGATTAAGAACCGATGTGAATGTGGCACTGCTGAGACCACCCAGGAGCGCAAACATGTCCCTTAAAATATAAGAGACCGATCCGCGGGGAGTGAGAACATTTCCCTTGGGGGGAGCGGGGTGGGTGCACGCCAGGAACACAGGCTAGTCCCCAGTACACGTGGCTAGGCTGAAAATAGTCGGGTTCTGACTCACTCTGAGCTGACCCGAGAGACTGTCATTTTCGTTCTCTGGGATCTCACTGCCCTTTGGGCTTTGAGCTCTGGTTCTTGCTCTTGGATCCTGACCCCACCTTTCTTCAAATCCCTCTGTCAGTTTTCTCTGGCCAAATCTGTCTCTTTGGCTTCCTTTTTGCCTCCTTGGGCCTGAGACCTTTCTTTTACTCCTCTTCTCTACCCCAGGGGTTGCCTGGTTTTGCAGATAAGACATCCCACGTGACAAGGCTCTCTGGTGTCCCATTCACAGAACTTCTGATTCTCTCTTTCTCTCCCTCTCTCCCCCTTCCTCTCCCTCACCCTGCTGGGGCGCCTCCAACTCT